GTCTTGATGATCTCCCTCGCTTTGTCGATGATCTCAGCGAAGGTTGAGTACTGCTCGCGATCACCAAGTGCTTGGCTCAGTGCAGCACATGACCTATTCTAGAACTCTCGGCGCAGTTGCGTAAATGGCAAGTCCAGATCCGGCGTTGCCGCGATCTTTTGCCATTCCGTGAGCCAGTCTCGTGTTGCCGTGTTGCCGTGTTGCCTTGGGTTATGGTGAAGAGGCGGTTGATGGCAAGGGCAGGCGCGTCGTCGACGATGAACCTCTTCTTCCACAACCGTGTCAACTCCTCCCATGTGATCTTGTCTCGAAGATCTACCACGTCGACGCCGTGAGTGGCTGCCAGATGGGTCAACCAAGTCTGGCATGCGCCCTTTGAGTTAAGGAAAAGGGCACCGATGTATGCGTGCTTGGCGACTGGCAGGATCCGAAGTTGCGTCGTGAATGCTTCCCACCAGAGGACCGGATCCTGATGCGTGTAGTCATCGAACTTCTCGAGTTGGAAGGTTGGCATCTTGTACAACTTAGGATTGCCCTCCGAGTTCGTCGACTGCAGCTGCTGGACCTCGGTCTTCAAGGTGTGCAGCTGACTGCTGATGGTGGTAGGTGCAGCGAAAGCACTGATGTCGCCGAGCATCGCCACTACGTGGTCAACGCGTTCCTCCAGTTGGCGGCTAGAGGGTTCACTGGTGGACGTACCAGCATCTGGTCCTTGTACAAACTGTTCCAGGTCCAGTACACGGGCATTGAGTGCCTGTGTTGCATCCTCGTGGCCCTGCACTATTCGGCAGAGGTCTGCCAACTCTTAGTGTTGTTTCTCTAGTTCGGCCCGTTGGTAGTTGCAAGTATACAACAGGCGTGACACGAGCTTGGAGAGAAACTCCTTGTGTTGCTCTTCCGGTGTCGGCTCGTCGCCGTTTGGTTCAAAGTGCCAGTACTTGAGCCTTTCGATGCTGGCTGCTTCATGGCGCTGCAGCAGCTCCTGGGCTTCCTTTCGGCGTGCCCTGGTGTGTGCCTCGGCTTCGGCCTGAAGCCGCTGCCTTTCAGCTGCCACTGCCGCCTCAGCCTGTAGGCGGGCAGCCTCGGCTGCCGTCTGGCGCTGTTCCTCGGCCTGAATGAGCGCGAGCTGAACCTGGACCCGCTGTCGGTACTCGGTGATGGACTCGTTGGCCAGTTGGCCTGGTAAGCCCAGCGCTCGTCCCGTCATGGTTGCTGACCTGGCACTGCTAACATGCACTGCTGACATGGCACTGCTGACGTGGCACTGCTGACGTGGCATTGTAAACAACCCGGAATGCAGACAAGGGGGTGGGTGGGAGGGAAAACGCAGGTAGGGATACCTACCCAACAATCCTTTCCTCCGGCCCTGATCAACAGATAAAATAAAAAAATATAAAAATAAAA